TGACACAACAGACATAGAGATTCTAAATAAAATTTCATACATACAAAACTTTGTAATTTCCTTGACTTGGTTTTTTACAGTATACAGTCAAACTTGTATAATTAGAGACCACCTTGGCCAGTGAGTTTCCCACACAAACCAGTAAACTTAAATTTTAGGGAAAATCCATGCAACATGAAATCTGTCATATTTTGAATGGTCTGTGTTTATTTTAACCAAGTGTACACACCTCTGTTGTTTTTGACAGCTCTTCTGTGTCTGCAATCATCTTTTCAAGGAAATCATCGGATATTAATATCTGTAATAAGATGAAATATTCAATGTTTAAATGTAATGCTGACATCTGAGATCAGAGTTGTTATGCACATGTAGATCACCTCAAAAATTGTTACCAAACAAAGAAATAATAATGTAGTATGTTTGGGCTGGGCAAGAGGCAACAAATGTTATTAAAATTGGGCTAATAATATAATGAAAATTATTCAAAGCATGACAACAAAGGATCTAAATATCTTGAAAGTTGATGTTACCCACTAGTCACACTTTTGGAACTACAAAATTTTCTCTGACTTATGAAATCCATAAAAATTTGTGTTGTCATGAAAAGACAACATTTATAGAACTTACGGAAGGTACTAATTTGTGACATATTTTAGCCCATATAGCAGTAACATGTGCTTCTAATACTGTAAAATGACCACACATTGATGCAAGGTGAACACACTAACCACTGTACTACACATTGATTTTCACTGGTTTTAAATTTCACTGATTTACCATTTCAGGCGTATTCAGTGGGTTTTAAATTCACAGTTTTGTCATTTAGATAATGTGTTCTATACAAAATTTTACATATTCACTGGGTTTTAATTTAGCGCATTTTCCAGTGAGTGAAATAAGCAAAATTATAACCCAGTGAATAATTACCCCCTTTACAGTAGAGGAAATACAGTATTTATGTGCACTTAACATACGAGTCGGATTTAGTGCAGGCTACTCCAAAATTCATGTTTTTTGGAGGTGGGCGCTTAGTCAAGCATCCCCTCAAATAATTATGAAAATTACTACCGGTATTTTAGATCACCATGTGCCAGGTTATTGGGGTCTCATTAGGGTAAATTAAACAGCACTTTTATAATAAAAGAAACAGTTATTAGGTTATTTGGGAAAACAGTTGAAGTCAATATCTTTATCATTATCTTTATTGTCAGATATGTTCGATGCAAAGCATCTGCAATGTTTCCGCACAATTTGACCTGCAACAACTTCCTTTAACCAATCAGAATGCTGTGTTGAGAATTGCTGAAGGCACACCTACCTGTAACCAAGGCCCATGTGCAGCGAAGGGATGTTTTTCATCTGCTATGGATCCTTCAACCCGAGGTGAAACTAAAGTTATTGCAACGTCTCCTGTTATACTTTTAAATGTAAAGTGTCGTCCATGTTTAAGTCTACCCCTGAATGAATGCAAAAGTACATTATGAATCAATAAGACGATACTAGTACTCTTGTTTATGTATAACATAGTTCACAGGTATGCATGCCAGTGAATAAAACAATGGATGTACAATACTAACGCTGTTGATATCAGTTTTGTCCCATGCATTTTTTTTTCAGACACTCTTATGCTGGTTGGCAAAAATGTAACAAGTTACATAACAGGTGGCTGTCCCTATAGATTATTATATATCATTGCCCATATTTAAACATTGCACTGCATCATTGCTGTACATATATTATCATGATAAACAAACAAAGCACTTAAGATGAAGTATGTATCATCTCAGTGTGTCCAAGTGTTTCAGTGTAGAAAAAGTGCATGTTCTTGTGCCACAACATTCTACACTAGACACCAGCTGGGACACCAATGAGGTTTTGAGCATTATACAAACCAAAATAAGTGACATCACTGCAGATTAAATGTCATGAATGTGAGATAGAGATAGAATCATTTTGTCATCCAATGTTGCATTGTGGGTCATTCATTATTGTTAGAACATGGTTGCATTCTTACACTTACTTCAATGCTAATGGAATCAGTGCACCAGCTTCCATATTAAATTTTAAATGAACACCATCTACACTTCGTGTTCGAATAAGTTCCATGGTACTGCCTTCGACATCACTCTCAGAACTCCCACCGAGAGAGGGTTTTCGGTTATCTAACATGTCTTGATTCCTGCAATTGAAGAAAAGAAAAAGTGCTGTATGGGACCCATATCAAATATGATTTTCAACTCATCTCTGTCAAGTTGACAAGTCACTGATTTAATGAAAATCGTAAAGGTCACTCCAATATTCAAGTCAAAGGAACTGCATATTCTGAACAATTATTGTTAAATGTCAGTTCTATCTGTATTTTGCAGGTATTATAATGTATAATTTATAACAGGAATTTCAAATTCATTACTAAACACAAAGTGCAATCCAAAAACCATTACATGTTTTGTCCAAATCACTCAACCTATATCATCTTGGTAAATCTCATCAAAATCATATTGACATCAAATATATGTCTTTTTAACTGCTTTTTTGGCAGGGTCTGAATAATAAAACACACGCGCGCTTGCCAAAATGAACCATTGTTACCAGTATCAGTAGTAATTGAAGTAGTTCAAGCATTGCGTACAATGAAAACAAGTTTGACAGTATCTGTTGTAACAATGTTTGATATGAGGTTTTTGATCTGCCCTGTCTTACGTCACTACTGTGGTGATATGGGTGTTTGATCTGCTCTGTCTTACGTCACTACTGTGG